ACAGTATGTGGAAAATAATGTGTTTTTTTAACCTTAAACCGCATAAAGACCAAATACACAAAATACTGTTCTTTTTAGCAGCATCATATGACCCCTTTAATCATTTTTTCTTTTATGCCAAAAATCATTAGGATATTAAGTAAATATATTTTGTTAATTTCCTACCGTAAATATATCAAATCTTAATTTTTGATTAGTAATATGCATTGCTAAGAACTTCATTTGGACAACTTTAAAGGCGATTTTCTCAGTATTTTGATTTTTTTGCACCCTCAGATTCCAGATTTTCAAATAGTTGCATCTCGGCCAAATATTGTCCTATCCTAACAAACCATACATCAATGGAAAGCTTATTTTCTTCCACTTTCAGATGTTGTATAAATATCAATTTCAAAAAATTGACCCTTATGACTGGTTTTGTGGTCCAGGGTCACAAATATGCCAAGCGTTTGAAGTGGCACACTTACTAGCCACATTTGGGCTTGATCGGTGGTCTGCACGGTTCTTCAACAACCTGTCCTCCTTCTTTGGTTCAGGATAGGTGTCCCACGTGCCCTGGGGGCTCTCAGGCGAGCCGTTCTGGACAGAGTTGTTGTAGAGCTCAAAGCCCTCGCTCTTTGGTCTCATCTTTCCCTTGTCTCCACGTCCACGGTCTGATGCTGCGGAGATGAAAAAGAGGCTTGAGAATTAAACCAAATTCAGCACTGGGAAAGTGCCCATCTCTCTGAAATGGGGGAAATCACCCACAATGCACCAAATCAGAATCACTACCAGACATATGTCGAAAGCATTTATATTTAACGCAACTCTTGGAACCGTTTCATGTGTGACTGGTAACGCTGCAGGTGCCAGATCCACCACATTTCCACCTCTTTTAGGAATTAGTCACGCTAGCACGCTGTGCGGCAGCCGCTGATATTTTTTAAGCAGAATACTGCAGCTCCCACATGCAAGCCCGTTAGAGATTTAAATAAATATTCATGCCGCAGTTGCTTACCGCGGGTCATCATGGGGGACGGCTGGTTGAGGAGCGTGGCCAGGCCGTGGTAAATGGCTCCCTGTTTGGCCACCTCGAGCGTTACAACAGAGCCGGTTCGTGTCATCAATTCCGCCGCCCTATAAGACAGAGACATGTTTGAGTAAAACACACAAAACTGCAGACTATGATGAATTAATTTTATGTTCAAAGCATTACTTGTGCAATCCCACAAGAGATTATTTAAAGAGACTAATCTCATAGTATGTCTGTTTGGATTTGCCGTCGGCTAACTGTAAACAAGAGACGGAGGCTGGAACAAATCCCAAAGGCAACTCAAGTTGTGTCCATTTGCATCCAGTTGTGTTTTGAGCCATATGCTTCTCATTTAACTCAAATCCACAGATTTAAGAGTTTCATCAATTCCACTACATCTCAAAACTACAGGCATTAATGCAATTTTTCTGACAGAAATTAGAACATTTTTTAAGCCGTTTTGACTTTGCAAACAAAAGGTGCTTTGTGCTGCACAGCTTAATGCCTGAAAATGTTGAACTAGGAATAATGACACTTTCAAGTCAAATCTAGGATAATTACAAGACAAACCACTGTGTCAGAAATTTAACTTCTCAATGAAAGGGCAATTTTCATCACTTTTCAGGAGAATTTCTTTTTTTAAAGAGTGCATTTTTTTTGTAAAAGCATATAAAAAATGTATATGTCATTCATCATGCCAAATAATTAAAAAATCCCAAAAATGAGACCCAGAACTTATTTGAATGTTACATTTGTGACCCTGGACCACAAAACCAGTCTTAAGTCGGTGGGGTATATTTGTAGCAATAGCCAAAAATACATTGTATGGGTCAAAACTATTGATTTTTCTTTTATGCCAAAAATCATTAGGATATTAAGTAAAGATCATGTTCCATGAAGATAATTTGTAATTTTCCTACTGTAAATATATTAAAACTTAATATATTTGCAACGTAATATGCATTGCTAAGAACTTCATTTGGACAACTTTAAAGGCGATTTTCTCAATATTTTGATTTTTTTGCACCCTCAGATTCCAGATTTTCAAATAGTTGTATCTCGGCCAAATACTGTCCTATCCTAACAAACCCCACATCAATGGAAAGCTTATTTATTCAGAAAATTGACCCTTATGACTGGTTTTGTGGTCCAGGGTCACATTTTAGTGTCATTTTTGCCTGACGATGTTCTAAAGACTGAGACGTCAGTCATATTTTGTACTTACGCCACTTAATTGTGTATATTAGGACACATTCCTTGCTTATGTGGTGTAATGAAATGGTTCTAGCATGCAATCCTTTTGTTTATTTAACAGTCTTCTTTGATATGGCCGGATATTGCATGCTTTACCTGTAAGTCCATTTCAAATTTTTTAAAATCCCATTATTAAAGGTCTAAATGCTACAGAATTACCTCTCCTGCGAGAGGCCAACCAGACTTCTTCCATCCACGCTGAGCAACTGGTCTCCGGCAGCCAGACGCCCATCCTAAAAAGAAAACAAGACTCAAACAGTCACAAAACAGCAAGGTTGAACAAGATTTTTACTTTTTATGAAGAAAAAAAAAGCATGATTTATGATTTTACAGCTTCAACTCCAAATATAGTACTGAGTATTATCAATAACACTAGTAAGTATGAGAAATCACACTTAGTGATTTCTGAAGAAATAGCATCTGCATTTGCCCATAAAGAACATCACAATACAAACCAAGCCAAACTCACTATGTCTGCCGCACCTCCTTTGACAACAGACTTGATGTAAATACCAAGTTTGTCCTGTCCGGCACCCTAAAAAACACAAAAGAAAGAGCGAAACCGTTTATTAGCACTCTTGAGAAAGATCTAAATGTCATTTACAGGCTCCAATAGTTCCGCTGTAGAAACTGCTGTACGAAGAAACCAGGCATTCATTCATGAAAGACTATAAATCTGGAGCCAGCAGTGAAGACATTCATATAAATAAACTCATTCATAAATCCAGACCAGATCTGAAGTCGTTTTTGTTCAAACTCTCAAAATTCTTCATCCTATATCCCGGGTCAGAGGTCATCATCTGACACGGGCCATCTGGCTATAGGACTGTGCACTCATTGAGATATCAGCTCGACATAAATGGCACTGCATGCTAGAAAAGCATCTTTCAAAATAAAATCTACCAATTAACTTCAAGATAAAACGATGCATTCATTGAAGCACATCCTGTAGACTTGAAATAGTAACGCCATACAAGTTTCAACACTCAAACATAACATTTCTAACACGTAATGCTCCATAAACTCTTAGTTAAATGGTCTGTTCAAAGCTTTAAGCTGACGGAGCTCCAGCGACATGAGCTTTAAAGGGGTTTGTTTGAGGACTGCGGTTTAAAGTTAGTTTCATTTGTTTTTTTCCGATGGCTGGATTTGCTATTCGAGCAAGCAAGTACCCAAAATCCCCTGGCTGCTGCCAGCAGTTCTATTTGAGGGGGATCTTGCTAAAAATTAACTATAAAAATGTGAGGTCTGTATTACATTCCCAGCCGTCTCTGCTGTTTTCTCATACAGAAACAAACTGCTCATACTCATACACCTGACAAGTAAGCCTGACAAACCCTCACATCTGCACAAATATAGCAAAACCAGCACTGACCTAAATTCTATTTTTTGTCTTCGGAACGGTTCACAAAGAAAAAAAAAAAGAAAATTCAATACTTTACTCTTTTGTGTATATTTGCATTAATAATAAACTCCTAAAACACACAAGAACCAATGATGTTTGATGTGAAACCAGGTTGAAAGTGTCTAGAAGCACCATGTTTGAATATGTGCACAATCTGAAATATTTTAACCTAATAAATGTCTGCTGTTGTACAGAAACTTATCCTATGATGATTTGAAAAGTCTTAACAAAAGTGTAGAGTCTGTAAGGTTTTGTTTTTGCTTTTTTTGTTCAAAAATTTGTCAGAAGTGACAGTAAAGAATAAAGAATATTATAATATTTAAAAAAAGAAAACAGTTAAGTTAAATTGCAGTAATATTTTGCAATATTACTGTTTTCATTGTGTTTCTGATCAAATAAATGCAGTCTTGGTGAACATAAGAGACTTCTTCAAAAATATTATAATTAGTGCTGTCAAACGATTAACCGCGATTAATCGCATCCAAAATAAAAGTTTTTTGTTTACATAATATATGTGTGTGTAGTACTGTGTATATTTATTATGTACATATAAATACACACAAGCATGTATATATTTAAGAAAAATATGTTACGTTTATATAATAAATATATTTATATATGATATAAATTATATGAATATAAATATATACATGTAAATATTTTCAAAATATATGCTGTATGTGTGTGTATTTATATATACATAATAAATATACACAATACATACACACATATATTATGTAAACAAAAACTTTTATTTTAGATGCGATTAATCGTTTGACAGCACTAATTATAATAAAGCCTAATCAACCCCAAATATTTGAACGGTACTATATATATATATATATCTCACACAAATCATATGGACTACTTTAAAGCACTTTTAATGGTGTTTTTACCCATTTCTGGAGCTTGAAAAAACCCAGTCCCCATCCATTTTTACTGTATGAAAAAGAGCTAAATAACTGCATTTCTGTTAAAATAGAAAGTAATGCTCCTTTGAAAGTCAACAACATACATCTACCGTGTTCTAGCAGCCTCATATGAACTCTTTCAACAGTAAAGTATGTACTTCTGAATTCCAGGGCCAGATCTCTAAAAGCCCATGCCAAACTCCAAATGATGGTTTCATGGTCATAACAAACCATTTATTAAATGGCACGCCACCCAAGTCTACAACCTTCCCGCCATGTAGGCTCTAGGCTGAGCCCGCTAGATCTGGTTTCTCCTCTGGTTTATGAAAAACCCATGCCGATCAAAAGTTATGAGCTACATTTACCATACTATTCTGCTGTTGTATGTTGTTTTAAGGCTCTCTGAAAAGATTCACACACCTCAAATGTCAATAACAATGTACCTTGTGCAGAAACTTTAAACTGAACCTGTTCTGGCCATCAATGGAGTAAGAAGTTACATCTACTAGGTGCTTCAATCTGAAATAGTTTCTCAAATAGTTTCATCAGACAATGATGAGATAGTCCTTCATAAGATGTGATGTGAAAACTGGTTTGGTGATCACTAGATTGGTATTTGCACCGCATTGCTCATAAGCACTTTATGTCTTGTCCATATAGTGAAAAACCTAAATGAAGCGGACCAGAAGCAATGGATCGAGAAAGCCAGTAACAGAATCTTCCTGGGAAACAGCAACATCTTTTATTCTGCCCTCTGAAATAAAGCCAATGTTAGCCACAGACCCCCATAACCCACTCACATTACACTGGCATAAACACACCCTACAATTCAAACACAGCCGTAACATGAACACCACACGAATATCACTCAGAAATCTCAGTTAACATTCAGGACTTAACCACAAATATAAGAAAAATATCAACATGCACTGTGCGCTTACAGGCCCCTAAAATGATTGAGGTCATGCCAGTTACAAAGCAATCGGCCAATCTGAATTTGAACATTCTTTACGGTCTAAAAAAAAAAAAAAAGTAAAAAACCACACAGCATTAATTCAAGGGTGAGGTCACCAAATACAAATAGATGAGTAAATTGCATGCAAATCACATTCAAAAGACAATAACGCAATAACACCATTAAAATGCTACAAAACCAGTCTAATTGTGAGAACAGGTGATGGAATAATGAAAACAGCAATGGAAAAACATGCAATCAGATGTCATAAATCATCTTGTGGTGCAGATGTATAAAAACCCCCTACTGCTACGTGCTCTGATGCCTACAGCACAAGTAACTTCTATCCTGTATGTTGTGAGGGCGTTATGATATGATCCTGGACAATGACTCCTCCTCATAGTGAGTATGCACAACAAATGCCAAAGGATTGGTGGGAATACTAACCAAGTTTTGGAAAGCTACTTTAAACTGCAGTATACCAAGCTACAATGAACTGATGATTTAAAGTACTAAAACTAGTCAAGCTACCATTTATAAAATAAATAAATAGTTAGTGACATTTCAAGCGCCTAACAAAAATAGTTTTAACTTCATTGAAACTAAGGAGACAATTTAATTATTGGTGTAATAAATGGCAACACTTTGAAAGTTCAATTTGTTAACATTAGCACATGCATTAGAAATCCTTAACAAATTAATGAACATGAATTAACAATGAACAACAGTATATTACTGTATTAATATAGGTTTAATGCATAAATAACATTATTTTAACATCAATTTCTATTAATTGCTGTATTGATATTTAATATATTAAAATGAATTTATTAAATAATAAAATGTGAATATTTATATACTATTGTTTATTGTTATGTTAGTTTACAATACTTTACACAATACATTATAATTATTTATAAATTAACGTATTAATGTATATGCAGAAATTAACATTAACCTATACTTAATTTGAAGTAAAAATTATTTTCACTCAGAAACTGCTAATAAATTTCACAAACAATTACAAAGAAATGGCGAGTAACACTGAATTAAATGTGAAATCTTGAAGTAGAAAAACTGAGATGTGTGGTTTCTGTTTCTGTACTGTTATGTTAGGTATCGAATGTGTTCTGATTGGCTGCTTGTGTCACACTGTATTAGGTATTATAATAGATACATCTGCATTTCATTGTCAGTGACACCACCGCAAAAAAAAAGGAAAATCTGGCACACACCACCATCGGCCTGAAATTCTGCGTATGCCATTTCACAAGAGGCATCAAGGCCTGCAACACACTGACATAATGCCTAATGCAACACATTGGACACTGAGTGCCTATTATCAATAATTTAAAAAAAAACTGAAATACAGATATGCCAATCTTGTGCACATGAACCACTTCTCATCTGCTGTAAAGTCTCAACTTGTCTAAGTCCTGAGGGAGATACATGTCGCCTAGCAAAGCCCAAAATCTCTCTGATTAGACTTTGAAAGTACGTATTACGCTTTGATGAGAAACAACCATTCAAAAACCAGTCTCTCCAAATTAAAGAGTGAACCTGTGGTGAAAGACACATGAGAAGCCCTGAGGTTGGGTGGTTTCCAGGCCGTCTGAACATGGCTGATGCAGGAGTCTTGTGCAGACCTAGTGGGAGAGCAACTCAGCTGACCTTTCCTCAGGAAACCTGCATTAAACTTGCTTTGATCAAAGCTGAAAACCTGGCGTGCAGAACATGAAACAGAGCAAGGTCTATAAAAGCCACTGATAAAAAACAGATGCATGTTAACAAGAGAACTAATTGCTACTGTTTTTAAAACAAGGGGTGAAGTGATACTGGCACAGTTCATTACTACGTGCTGGAAGGCTAAAGTCAATTTTTATTAAAAATAGAGCTTTTTTCTTTCGAAAAGAAACGGCTATATCACTAGACTGTATGCAACAGAAGAGCGTGTTTGAAATGCTTCCATTGAGAATATTGTCATCAAATTTAATGAGCTCACTTTTAAAGTTTGCTATTTCCTCTGACAACCAAATAGTCATTGGCAGAGCACTCGAAACACTCCATGCAAGTACACAAGCCCAAAATCTCATTTAACACGTTGTTGCATTACAAAATGAGAACATTGAGAATGTAACACATATTTGTGTTTTATGAATAGAGTTGCTGCAAGGGCGCGCTAGCGCAAACTGTCTTCCATGGTCACTCTTCTCTTTAAGGTTAAGTAGTGTCACGACAGAGCAACAGTTTGAAGAGCAAGTCAG